CTAACATGAACAACACACATCTTCATACCAGCTGCTTGGGTCACACGTGGCAATGAACAGATCCAGGGGGCAAAGCAGAAAACATTTTTTTCCCTGCAAACTTGCAAGTTTTACTGAAACTTTGGAAAATTTTTCTCTGCCGTCACACTTCAAAACTGACCAATTATAAAAATGCCATGAGCCAATGGAGTTACACATGCCACATTTCTGCTTTTAAACAAGTAACTTTAGATCAGAACAAGGTGCTAAAACAATAAATAATGCACATTTCCTCCAAATCTTTGTTTTTCCACTGGCTTCGTCATTACTGGAAATGTTGCCTCTTTTGTCACATGTTTATAAACCAAAACGCCCAAGTGGGGAACAAGTTATTTTCTGGCTGAGGGCCGTGGTGGGAAGCACTTCTCTGCTGGACCACAATGTGGGTGTTTCCTCCCTTGAGGAAAAAAAACCTTATGGAAATAAGAGGCAGGCAGAGTCTTGTCACTGCCTCCTGATGAGGCCAGAAGGGAGGCTGGTGGCTGGACAGGCCCTTTGGATAGCCATTCTCCAAGGCCCTGAATGCTGGGCTTCAGTCCTCTGATTGGCCACCCCACCCTTCCCACATCGGTCCACCCAACTTGGAGCACAACTAAATGAACCTTCAAAGAGCAGCCCCATCAAGTCACAGTCCATCCTGGGGGCTCTGATTCTTCTGCTACCTCACTGCCTTTCGACCCTGAATACGGCCATCCACCCGCATGGACAATCCATCCCAAATCCAATCCTGGCTTGATCTCAGGATCCTTGGGGAGCCCGTCAAAACTGCCTGGCGCTCCTAGGCATCGCCCTCAGAGATGCTGATTCAGGAGGTCTGGGCAGGGCCTGGGAGTCTGTGCTTCCACAAGCAGGCTCAGGATTCTCAGCACACCTCTGGGCCTTTGCATGTGCCACCCCCTTCCAGACCCTCTTCCCATTTTCCCAGCAGGAAAGGTCAGGTGATAGGAGTGATGGCAGAAAGAAGCTAAGCAAGCAGGGCTGAAGGAACCAAGGCTACCTACCAGCTATCTGCTTCCTTCCTGGGAGTGAGATACGTGCTTCCAGGATTTGGGGAGCCCTCCCCTCTCCTCCCCTGCTTCATGTGTCCAGGCCACTAGGGCAGTGGGACCACACTGCCTGCAGCCAGGGGAGTCGTGGCACAGACACACACTTTCTCCATCGCATCACTGCCACATGGGCTGCCTGTGGAGCTGCCAAATCAATCAGCCTTCTTTCAGTTCCAATTAGTTGGCTTTGAACTCCAGGGGTGACATTAGGCTGAGGACCCAGAGCCACAAAAATAAAAATTATTTTAAAACACCAGCCCAGGTGAGATGTGCTAGAAGGCAATGCCCTCAAGAGACACGTTCTTTTGGAACAGGCCATTGCAGGGTGCCAGGAATGTCTTGGCTGTGTTTGCTCAGCAGCCTGGGCCTTTCTCCCTGAGGATGGGTGGCTGCAGCAGAGAAGCCTGGGGAATGGCTTTGAAAAGTCTTGCTGATATACCCTCCAAGGTTTCCTTTCCAGACGCATCTCCTGCTCTCCCCTTTCCTAGCCCTTCACTCCTGCCAAGCCAGACACCTCTTCTTCCCTCAAACTTCTCAAACTCACCCCAGCCTCCGAGTCCTTGCTCATGCCTGGCCCTCTGCTCATCCCAATCCCTTCTATCCTCCAGGACACATCTCCAGCCTCCCCCATCTTGGTTAGTGCCCTGCCTCCAGTCAGTTCTGACTCCCACTGCTTGTGGATTGCAATCCATCCTGCCTTGTATTTCTTAATGAAACCCCAAGGACATCCTACTTTCTCAGTTGACCTGTGAGCTCCTCGGGGTTATGGACAATCAGTCACTTAAGGTGAGTAGAGCAGGCCCGGGCCGAGAACCTGGTTCTGCTCTGTGTCCGACTGGGACATTCATCCTGGGGGAAGATGAAGCACGACAGACCTGCTTTCTCTGCCTCACCACGCCCCCCTCCCAGCTCTGCCTCATTCCAGGTTTGGTGGAAGGGTGAAGAGCAGGAGGCCAGGTTCTGCCCACCCCTCACCCCAGCAGCAGCCCCTGTCAATTACTTCTACTGCGAAAGGAGGAGGGGAGACTAACTGTATAGTAGACAGAACCTACGGGCAGGTTTTGCTTTAAGCCAGTCCACTTCATTAAAAACTGAATTCATACGAAGAGTCACACCCTGCAGAGGGACCTTTTACCCAATCAAAAATCCCTGGTGACAAAAATAGACTCATGGAGAGAGAATACAGACTTGTGGTTACCAGGGGGGTAGAGGGTGGGAAGGGATAGACTGGGATTTCAAAATTGTAGAATAGATAAACAAGATTACACTGTATAGCACAGGGAAATATACACAAAATGTTATGATAAATCACAGAGAAAAAATGTGACAATGAGTGTGTATATGTCCATGAATGACTGAAAAATTGTGCTCAACAGTGGAATTAGACACAACATTGTAAAATGATTATAAATCAATAAAAAATGTAAAAAAAAAATCCCTGGTGACAAATGGGTTCTTTCTAGAAACCTCAGAGGGGGTTCTCTTGGGGAAGGCCCTTCTGGGTCTGTGGAAACACCTGCTAGACATCTCCAGTGCCCAGTCCTGCTTACCTGTGGATCCCTCAGGCCTTGGCTCAGGAGGGAACAGACCTCAGTGGAAAGAGGTTCGGACCAGAAGGACCAGACTTAAATCCTGTGTCTACCTGGCCAGACGATCTTGGACAGGTTCCTGAACCCACCCCTCCTGGTCTAGGAAAGGCGGTAAGACCATCTGCCTAGGTTGTTGGGGAGCCGCCTGGCAAGTATGAGGTGGTGCACACTCCACCCTCCCCCACTGGTTGAGCAGAGTCTCTCCTGGACGAGGGCAAATGCCAAAGCCAGTGGTCCCTCCTGTTCAAGAGCTGGACACCCAGGGTGCTGCCTCCCACTTGCAATAAAAATAGCTTAACCCTTAGTGTTTTCCTGTAGCAGACATCTCATATGTATTAATACACATTCAAGCCTCAAACAACCTGGTGAAGTGCTATCATTATACCCATTTCACAGATGAGGAAACTGAGGCACAGGAAGTTAAGGACCTGCCCAAGACCACACAGCTGGCAGATCAGGGACACAAAACTAGGCATTCTGGCCCCAGAGCCTGTGTTCTTAACTCTACAGAATATTCTGCAATGTCCAAGTCTAAGTTCTGTCTCCTCTGGGGCCAGGCCCTGGCTCACAGAATGAAAATAAATGCTTCAAGTGGATCTTTTTACTCTCAGATTGAAGGTAAGACCAACTTCTCCCCTCCTTTCAGAACCTATCAATAATTAAAATAACAATGACAGCTGCTATCGCCGGAAGCTTGCTAAGTGCTGGGCCCTCTGGGATCCAATCCTTAAATTTAATCAAGGCAGGCACTATTTTTACCATCGTTTTACATGTGAGGGCATGAAGGTCAGAAGTTAAGCAGCTTGCCAGTCACAGAGCAAACACAGGGCAGCGCAGGGATTCAAATTCTGACGCCAAAACCTAAACTCAGAACTCCAAGCAACAATGCTTCTCCGCAGTGAAACTACGGTAACGCTGATCTCATTCACTATCCAGTGATGCAGATTGTATGATAAATAAAATGAAAGGCGAGTTGAGCTCACCAATTTTCCAAGGAAAAGTATAAACAGGATTTCATGAGGAAGAGCAACACTAGCCCAAAAGAACAAACTTGCAACACTCTTGAGCAATCTTATTTGCATTTAAACGAGCTGCAGCTCATCACAGGACTCCTGGGTGGGATGGAGCCTCACACCCAATCCCAGAGCCAGGATGAGCCCACAGGATCCGTGGCTGTCTGCGCCCCCTCGTGGCACAAATCAGAACTCCCTAACTTCGGGCGCTGGAACCATGCAGCTCCCTAGAACTGTGAGGGCACCAGTCCATCTTCTCAGGTCTGAGGAGGCGCCCCCGCTCTGGGGAGCCTGCTCCAGCCCCATCTGAGCTCCCGGAGCAGTGCTCACCTTGGGGAAGCCGATCACAGCTAATAGCAACAGGCCGTTCCTACTGCCAGGCACGTGCCAAGTCCTCTGGCTGCACCAAGTCCTTGAACCCGCTGCACCTTCCTGCAGGTGGCTGCTAATCCATTTTTACAGGCAAGACGTGACAGTCTTACATGACATCTTGGCTAGGCTAGTCTCCAGTTCATTCAACCACACACTAATCCAGGAGTTGCTGGAGAAGGTAATGTTGCAGATGTGATCAAGTTCACAGTTAGTTGATTTTCAGCGAGATTACCCTCGATAATCTGAGGGGCTCTGAGTCAATCAGCTGAAACACTTTTAAGGCCAGAGCTGAGGCTTCACTGCAGAAGAAATCTCACCTGTGGATGGCAACCCTGCCTGCCCTTGGACTTCAGATGTGTTTAGCCAGCCCTCAATCGCATAAGAAAGCTCCTTGCAAGAAATTTCTTAAATTAGCTCCTACTGGTTCTGTGTCTCTAGTTGAACCTGATCGATACAACAGAACAAGTGAGGTCACAAAGCTCAGGCGAAGGGATCTCCCAAAGTTGTGGGGCTGTGAACGGGAGCCCAGGCAACTTGACATCAAATCCCCCCCCACAGCCCACACCCCATCACATAAACCCCTCTCGTCTGTCCCCTGCTGCCGGAGTCCTCGTCCTCTCACCTGTTTCCTCCCCTTGTCCATCTCCACCCACCGGTCAGAAGAGTCCTTCGCAGAGCTAAGTCAGATCATGTCCTGCTCTCCTCAGAACCCTTGAGCGGCTCTTCATCTCACAGTGAAAGCCCAAATCCTTAAACCAGCTGGTAAGGCCCTATGAGGTCTGTGCTGCTGCCCCCACCCCCACTACATCTCTGCCCTCCCCTCCTAACACCCTGCCCTTCCCCATGTTCCACCCCAACCACAAACCTCCCTGCCATGCCTCAAGCAGGCCAGTATGCTCGACCCCTGGGCCTTTGCACTTGCTGTGGCCCCTGGCCTGGACTGCTCTTCCTCAAGTAACCAGGTCACTTCCTTGTTTCCCTCTGTCCAACAGCATGTTCTTGTCTGCATAGTTCATCACCCAGAGCAGACTGCCAACCCCTTGAAGGCAGAAAGGCACAGCCCTGTAACCTCAACGCTGTACACAGTACTGGCAAACAGCTGGTGCTCAGTCAGGTCAGCTGCAATATCTGGTCTCCAAACAAGCCTCACTTGGTCCTACTCCCCGACCTTTGTGGAAGTGCTGTCTCTTGATTAGCAAAGCTCCCTGCTCTCCGTCCCTGAACCAGAAAAACTCCTCCTCTCCCTGGGTAACGTCCTAATCCTAACCCTACCCTCGACTTGAGGCCACAGTGACCTCTTTCCCGACCTCCAGTGTCATTCATGCACTCACTTCTTCCATCCACCGCCTATTCACAAGCACGAGGGGACCCCGCCACTGGTGTGAGCACCACAGCAAGGTCTTGGCTTTCAAGGTGGTGGGACACAGATAACAAACAAGAAAACCAACAAGGTAATTAGTGATGTGCAGGGGAGAAGTGGGGTGACTTCAGAGGGCAGCTAGACAGTAGAGGACAGGGCGGCTTCTCTGAAGTGATAAGCAGACATCTTAAGAAGCTAGCCATGTGAACGAATGTGGAACAGCATTCAGGCAGAGGCAACAGCAAGTGCAAAGACCATGTGGAATAGTAACTTCAGATTTCACCTATTGATGTTCCTACGTATGTGGAAAGAACTTATTTACTGTGTAGTGTGTTTTAACATTTAAGTTTTATGAGATGGTTCCTCCTTTATAAGCTGATTATTCAACTTGTTCACTTTTTCCTTTTTTTATAATTATCAGATAGTAAAAATGATATGTTTATTAATTGTTCAAATAAAAAATAAAAGTGTAAAGAAACTACATGTGTTTAAGGAACAGAAGGTGACAGGCGTGGCTGAGCAGGGGGCTGGGGTGGGAATGGGAGACGGGGAAGAGGGGATGAGCTCGGGGCAGGGCGGCAGGCAGGGGCCAACGCACACACGGCTCTGCAAGCTGGGATAAGGAGTTTTTCTGGGAGGGATGGGAAGTCCTTGGGGAAAATTAAGCAGAAAAGCACATTAATTGATTCCATGTTTTGAAGACCTCACTCTAGCTATGGTGTGGAGAACGGTGTGGATGGGCCAGGATGGGAGCAGACAGGCCAAGGAGGAAGCTGGGGTCTTTCCAAGAGAAGAAGGGGACTTTCAACAGCTGTGATGGTGGGGGTGGGAGAAGGGGATGGATCCAGAGGTCAGGTGGGCAGGTAAGAGGAAGGGAGGGGTCAAGGATGACTTTTTTTTTTCCACTTTTTAGCCATAGAATTTTATTTTATTTTATTTTTATTTTCCTCTTTTTTTAAGAAACATTTTTTATTGAGTTATAGTCATTTTACAGTGTTGTGTCAAATTCCAGTGTAGAGCACAATTTTTCAGTTATACATGAGCATACATACATTCATTGTCACATTTTTTTTTTCACTGTGAGCTACCACAAGATCTTGTATATATTTCCCTGTGCTATACTGTATAAGGATGACTTCTTGATGCTCAAGATGTTTCTTGAGCAACAGGATGGATTGGGGCGGATGCAGGAAGCAGCAGGCAGAGGGAAGGAGCAGAGATAAATTTGAGGCTACACTGTCTTCCATGTTTCAAGGTCACCAGTCCTGCCTGCGCTTTGAGGCTGTTAGCAGCCGAGAACTTTCTTCCTGCTGACTTCAACCTCTCCAGGCCTGGCTTGTAGTCTTGGCTCTGCACTCAATAAGAGATCCTTCCAAGGATGAGCTGGGCTTTGGGGACCAAAATGTGACAAGTGATGACCAGGGAACAAGCATCCATTTTCTCCACACAAACATTCCTGACTGAAGTGACCCTGGGGAGCTTCCTGAGCTTCACTACAGAGCAGAGTGAGGCCCTAAATAAACCCAAACTCAAACCTTCACTTTGCCACGGACTCTGGGTAGACACCCTTGGAGCCTCCACTTCCCCTCTGTGAAATGGGACTCCCACCAGCCACCATGCACCGTGCCACTGAGCAGCAGATGAAGAAATGTTTGTAAAGTTGTCTCAAGTGGTATTCTCAAACGTATGTAACATTCCTCAAATAGATGCTCACGAAATAATAACAGTAGCTAGTACTTTGGGAGAAAATTTTGAGGTTGCAGGCAGTGTTCTAAGCACACTTAGATATATTAGTTTATCTAATCTTCTTATCTAATCTTCACTATAACCATATGAGGTGTGTATTAGGGTTCTCCAGAGAAACAGAATAAGGTGTGTGTGTGTGTGTGCGTGTCTAGAAAGAGAGAGAGGGAGAGAGGGAGGGAGAAATTGACTCACGTGATTGTGGGGCTTGGCCAGCCCAAAATCTGATGGAGTAGGCTGATAGGCTGGAGACTGGGGGAAGACCTAGAGTTCAAGTCCAAAGGTAGTAGCAGAATTCCATTTTTCTGGGGGAGGTCAGTCTTTCCTCTGTTAAGGCCTTCAGCTGATGGGATGAGGCCAACCCCCATTATGGAGGGTAATCTGTTTTACTCAAAGTCCATTGATTTAAAAGTTAATCTCATTCAAAAAACACCTTCACAAAAACATCCAGAATAACACCTGACCAAATATCTGTGGCCCTGCCAAGTTGACACACAAAATTAACCATTACCAGGTGGGTATGAATATTATCCCCACTGTACAGAAGCAAAGACAGGCACAGAGAAGGTAGCAAGTGTGCCCGAGGTCTGAGGAGCCAGACCCTAACCTCCTGCAGGCTGGCTCCATCCAGAGCCGGCACTTTTAACCAGGACACTAAGTGGCCATTATCATAAGCACACCAGCGAAATTAAATTTCCCCATCCATCCTCTTCCTGGCCTGAGAATGGAAGGCAGAGAAACAGGAAGCTTTCCCTGGGTGGGGCCCTGCCTCACTCAGGAAGCCACACAGAACCTGAGCCTCAGAGATGGAGGGCAGGGCACCTGAGAGATTATCCCATCCAGCCTTTGACTTTACAGGGGGAAACTGAGGCCTGAGTAGAGAAGGGACTTGTGCAAGGCCCCAGGGCTTCAGGAGGTGATGATGACAATAAACTGACACAGCATCTGTAGCCGTTATCCTATGCCAGGGACCATTCCATGCTAACTTAGTCTTCTACATGATCATTATCGGGAATGAGGAAACTGAGGCAGAGAGGTTATGAAACTAGCCTGAGGTCACATACAGCCAGAATATGAACCCAGGTTTAACCAGTCATGACACCTCTGAGGCCCAGGGCAATTTCTTGGAGAGGGGGCTGTTTCTTCTGAAACAGGGTTTCCCCTCCTTCCCTGTTCCCCCACCAACTGCTCTGGCTGCAAGTCACAGCTGAGATGCTGCAGTTCCTCAAGTTCATTAGGTAGCCTCACCCTCCTGTTCACAGAGAAAATGCTCCTCTGCACCAGTGGGCGGGCAGACCAGAAACACCCCTGCCCAGGAGACAGGCATGTGTGCACACACATCTCATCCCACAGCTAGACACGCCCCAACCAGGTAAACACACACTCCAACCCACAACCGGATACATCCCAACACACTGGCACACTCACCCAGTCAAGTAAACATACCTTCAGAGCACAGAACTATAAAGCCCCATAGGTACACACACAAACCCATAATCACACATGCCCCCTCATTTACAAACCAGGACACAACTTCCCTCATTCCAATTAACATGCAAAAGCAAGCACTGTATGGCAAAACATAGGAACCCAGACTCAGAAACCCACACCATACAATCACACCTACCCCAGTTCACAGCTCATCCAACACACAGGCACACACACCTCTACGGATCACAGCCCAAAGCACTTGGACGCAAATATCTCCCAACACGAGCCATTCACGTGAGCCGCGTGTGCACACGCACTTTCCTCATCTCCGAGGGCCAGAACCTCAGATGGCTGGCCCACCCCCATAACTCACCACGACCAGAAACAGGGACAACACACATACCAACGCAGGTCTCTCCAGTCCCTTTCCCCCCACCCCGTACACCCAGCCCTAAGTACAAGGGACCACCGCCACCCAATTAACTGCGCCCCGCCCGCGTGCAGGCGTTTGCTTAGCCCCGCCTCCTCCACCCTGAGAGAATCCTGACCGACCCCAGCCGACAGCGCCCAGAACACAGCATTGAGCACCCGAGGACTTGCCCTTCTGCTCCCTGTCTCCACCCCCTTAGCAAACTCAGGGTGCCCTGGCACTTGTCGGGCCAATGCCAGGGGGAGTCGGTGCCCTCCCATCCGGTCTCTGAGGGCAATCACGCAGAGCCCCCACCCCGCAGCAAGAAGAGTTGGGGGAGGAGGGGAAGGTCTGCGCTGCAGGCGTTAAAAACTCAAGTCACTCAAGCACGAACCCCCCTTTTCGGTCCTGGGTCTCACCTTCCCACGGGGAAAACCCTGCCTCTCTATTAACCCTTCCATCGCTGCCACACCGCGGGAAGGATCCAGGGAGAAGTCACAGCGAGCCCAGCAGTGAGCCCTGCAGCCCCAGGGGGAAGATCCGACTGCCTAGGTCGCGGGGGCTTAGGCCCTTTACAAGACACCCCCACATTCCCCATGCACCCACCCTCATTCCCAGGAAGAGAGCCCGGGGATAATCTGTGGGACGCGGTGGGAGAAGGT